TGGATTTGTGAGCGCTATTAAGTAAGTATTGCTAGATCATCCAACTATTTCTTTCATTTAACGGGGACCTGATGACCTGTGATTCTTGTCATGAAAATAAAAGTCAAATTACGCTCCAATACAGTATGGGAAGTGAAGGTATTTAGTTTCCTCTGTAAGGAACACAATAACAAATCAAAGTGACTTAAGATGGCGCATATCAATTTTAGTTCCGAATTTACACTCTTTGGTTACGGCTATCTAAACGAAGACACACCCCACAGACAACCTTTCTTTACAAAAGGGGGCGAAAACACGATGGATTTTTAAGGAGCAAGTTCTGGTCGTCTTCAAATCCTTCGGCTCTTAATAATGCTTCAACACAATGCACAACCTGGGTGATACTACAAAAACTATTGAACAAGCAGTTCTGTGAAACTGAAAGTGAAGACAATTCTCGGATGGAGCTGATACTCGGGGTGAATTGTTGAAAATCGAATACCTTGAATTTCTAGTCTCGATTATGAAGTAACCAAAGTAACACCGTATAGTCCCTATCGAAAAGTGGTCTTGATCTTAGAGTTCATAAAGAATCAATTATAAATCTCTCCGAGATAAGAGTGAAATATATCTGATGAATAATAACAGTCACAACGCGCCTTTTTCTAAAAGCGCCTTCAAATACAGGAGTGACAAAACACTATACGCACGAGTATGAGAGACATGTTATTCATTCTCCTTTTAACCATTGGATAACAGGCACAAGAAAGTACGCTAGGGATCCTATTGATCTTTTGAAAATGTTGTCACTCTACCATCGAGTTGAGAAGTATTCAATGAATTTATGGATGGGGAGAGAGGAAAGAGGAGAGAGAGAGATGAGCAAAAAGAAAAATGCAGAAAAAATAATCAAGTGAAACTGCAAATTTTGGCAACTAGAAATGAGAATGCATGCATGATTCCTATAGGACTTTGAGGTTACTTCCTTCAAAACGAGATCAATTTTAGGGACGAGTGAGGCATTTTATGTCAAAAGTGGCGAATAGACCAACAAGTGTATGGATGCATTCGAAAATATTGACTCATAAAAGTGGGTTCTCTCAAAGCTTTTAAGAGAGTTTAAGGAAAAAATAAGTGTTGATGAATAATCATGTAAATCTAAAGGATACATGCTATGCTTGGATTTGAGGTGTTTATAATGGTAATAATATAACGGTCGACTGATTTTAGGTGATCGCAGTGGAGTGGTTGAGTATCTTCCATTACCACTGCACGATTTTAGTATCACCATTTTTTGTAGTATTTTACACCCGAGGATAACGACTAATTTTTATAGCAATTACAGTGTGGCTTTTGATTTAATTGATCAAACCCCCAGTGAGGAGGAGCAAATTCACCCATCAAAGGACTGGCGACTTTTTAACCTGCGCGTTTAAGTCGCTGCCGCTGGGCCTCGGCAAAGCAATTAGCAATGTGTGAAGCCCGTGTCCGTTCTATCACTTACATCAGTTTGAGTGAGCGTCCAAGTGTCATCCCTTCCGCTACTATCCTCGTATCAATTTCATATCTGCAATTTTTCATCTTTCACCTTCTTCTCAACCCGTGTTTACATAATCTTACAGTGTTGTCAGCATGAAAGTCTACAAGTAAGCAACAATGTGACTCCGTTGGTTCAAATATTATAACAATGGCCTACAGGAAAAATACACGAAGAAACTTCGGTTCATATACGGACACTGAAACTTTCAGGTCAGGTATACGCATGCGAAATTCTCAGTCATGGAAACCGAACTTCATGTTGGTAATACTAAGCACAAGATCGTATTCTGTGCGAAAAACGTCGGTTATTTAAACTGAAGTTCGGAGTGTAGAACTACAAATTTCGTTTACCTGAACCGAAAACTATAGTGATTCATTTGAACTGAAGTTCAGCCCTTGCAGCTCTCCGTGCAGACAAAATTCCTCTAATTAGAATGAAATTCTGATTCCCCTTTGTTAAGCGGCAACTTTGGTTCTACCTCGAAGATGATAACAATATGATTTATATTACTTTTATCCTTTTCTGAAATCAAAATTACGTATAACTTCTCTCTTATAGAACAATGTTGCATTCTGACAAACGTCGCTTTTTGATGTACGGAGCAACTACTTTTTTAGATGAGCCTCGTCCTCCGTATAATTTAATTTTTTCCAGGGCTCATCTAAAAATGAAGTTATACCCTTGCATCACAGAAACAGTGAAAAGAGTTTTAATATAAATCATCCTTAATTTTTAACGAAGTAAAAATAAATATTGAATGCTAGAGAGTCCATAATGTTTGTCCAGCTCAGGACTGTTAATTTATAGACCGTCTTTTGAGCAACGTCTTCGACTAGAGCTGGCGTGGTTATGGTATGCCAGAGTTTTAAATCACGTAAGTTATAGGTATTTCTTCGTAATCACGATAAAGTCTGTCAATTTAATATACTGTTAAAAATTTAGTTAGATCTTGAATAAAAAGTGAAAGTGTATTCTCGCATACTATTGAGATTTCCTCTAGAGTCTGATCAGATGCCGTGAATGGCAACTGTTTTTAGATGCATTTAGATGCATCACATTGGAAGAAAAGATATACTTTAAAAATTTGACAAGAAAACAACTCTTAATTGATTCGATCGGATTTTTGCTCGGACCGAAAGCCAAGCCTCTTAATTTGAGCGGATTTACTTTTGATTCGAGCAAAAATCCAAATGAATCAAGAGTACTTTCTCTTGTCAAATTTTTTAAGAGTCCGAACTCCCGAAAGACTTTTTATCCAGTGCACTCTTGATCCAAAAAATATTATTAGTGGGATATTTTAGAGTTTTTTTCCACTTACAGTAAGGAGTTTGTATAAGCCCCAGTGTGCATGCTCTCTCCGGAAGCTATTCTGCGCGTATAACTGAGCGATACGGTAGGAGAAATCCCTTGATTGAAAACACTCTTGATTCAATCGGATTTTTGCTTGAATCGAGAGCCAAGCCTCTAAATTTGAGCGGATTTACTTTTGATTTTAGCAAAAATCCGATTAAATTATAGTATTTTCTCTTGTCAAATTTTTTTAGTCTCGACTCTGGACCCAAAAGACTTTTTTTCCAGTGCACTCTTGATTCGAAAAAAAAAAAAATATTGATGACAAATTTGAGATTTTTTTTTTCATTTTATTTTTACAGCAAGGAGGGAGTTTGTATATGAGACCCAGCGTGCATGCTCTCTCGACAAGCTACTCTGCGCGTATAACTGAGCGATACGGTGAGAGAAATCCCTCGTTGACAACCGTAAATTGGAGCGTTGTGAGAGGCTCGGTTACGCAAGCGCTGCTTTGAGGTGACGAACGACGAGGATGGGGCTGTGAGTTTTGGGAGCCACGGCCGTGGCCACAAGCCACGCTGCCGTGCTAAGGAAAAACGCCGTATGAACCACCAGGCGTTGCCAAATTTTCTCTGATAAAACACGAATTTCCCGGTGAAATTAAGAATATTCTCCTTTCGATTTTTCAGTTAATTTTGTACGCAATTTCACTTAGATTTCCTGAAAATTTCAAGGAGAAATATTCATAAATTTCCTCAAAAATAAAAATTTTATCTGGGGAAATTTGGCAACTCTCGAATGTGCATACGGCGTTCTTCCTTAGCATGGCAGCGTGGGCATCGGCGAGCGTGCGACAATGATGCGCTAATTGCCCTGAAATCCATTTCACCGATCCATCGGCCGATTGCCAATCGCTTCCGGACTCGGAGCGCCTTGCCTCGCCGCATTCCGCACTCACGCCCGCCAAGCGACTCCTGCTCCTGCTCTTGAACGTGACATCGATCCCAGGCCACGGGCACGGCCCAACGACACCGCACATTGCACCTCGGACAAGGGTGCCGCCTAAGCCGATTCTATACTACCTATAAGCCCTGGATAGACGATCAAATTCCAAACCAATTCCGATCAAAGTAGACATGCTGATGACTGATGGTCACCATCTACCATCAAATTTTGACTGGCCGCACTATTTTGTTCAAAGTAAGATCAGAATGAGTGCCACCATTCATCATTTCCTCCCAAGTTTACATTTTAAAATTAAGCAAATTAATGAATTAAAGACTGATGACTCCCGACACTTTGATGCTACTTTGATCGGAATTGGTTCGAGGATTTGATCGTCTATCCAGGGCTATAAGGGGAGAGTATAGACATTTCGGTAATTTCGAGGTTAGGGCATGGAGCTTTTAGGACCCAAAATGGCTATGAATGGGTCACTGAAGGTGAATTTACAGCAGTGCGTGGTAAGAAAATTTTCCGTGCAGGGAGCGCTACCGCTGTGTTTCGATTTTTTGGTCCACGCTATGAGAGTCTGTACCTCTCCACGCGAGTCCTTGAGCTTTTATGAAAGTTAAAGGAAGTTAAAGGCCTCTGAACCCGGAGCAATCGAAGCTATACCTCCAGCAGCCGGAATTTTTGGCCTTTGAGCCCGGAACGGACGGTATGTCTATATAGCCCGTAATTGCGGCTCCCACAGCCGGAGATTTTTTTCAGTGATTCCACACGTAAATGTTCAGTTGCGTTGCTAAAGATTCAAGGTGAAATCAAAAGTTTAGCAAAATTTGTCCGACTCAAATCGATGTGTATTTACTTTTGACTCAATTTACCGTCATGGTGTAACATAATGTGATAAGATCCATCCAAACCTAGTGATTATTAAGTCCCGTGGTCGGTAACAGAGAGTATTGATCTTTTAAGAAAAAAGAGAAAACAGAAAGAGAGAAGGAATCTAATGCAGCCCTTTAGCCGAGAAGTAAAAAATACCAGTCCCTACACATCTTTAGTGCTTACACATTCAGGCACCTTTGAGAGTGCACCTGAGCTCCTGGTTTCATAAAGCGATAACTATTTTTGCACGGCCGTCGTGAAATGGTATGCTCATCGTTTTGAAGGCGATTTTTAGGCAGATGCCCAACACTTCTCCTCAGCATAATATTACGATTGATGTCGCGGAAATTAGACAGTTACTTACATCTCTGAGCAATTCTCTGAGTCGATTGAGACGGTCGTCCATGCTTCTGGTAGGCAGGTACCTCGCATCCACAGGAATCTTCGTGCTGACCAGCAGGAAGAAGATGACACTGCATATCAATGTGACTCGAAGCATCTGCACAGAATACGGAACATTCTGGTTGATATTTGTGAATCGGAACATGTAATTGTAAATGAAAATCTCGAATAGGATTTTTAATGTGTATATGTGGCAGACCAACTAATCATTTTATAAAGCTCCCACGCAGAAAATTAATAATTAATTCCTGATTATTAAGAATGTTCTGATGGAAAATTCTTGCACAAAATTTTGAAATCTCTGAGCTTTTATTGAAAATTTTTGACCAGAAATTACTGTCAATGTGTCTCTCATGATAATACTCTCTGTAAAAAATAAAAAGGTATTTCATGGTTTAAATAATATTAGCTCTAGAATTATGTTATTTCAAATTATATCGGAAGTTATACAAATTCAGAGGCTTTCAAAATTTTAGAGTAAAAATTGATCCGGAACATGTAGAATAGTGAAAATAACACCAAGGTGGCTCGATTTGTTACTTTCAAAATATTAAAAAATTGAGAGATATTTATCCATTATGCAAAACTTGGAAAGTTTTGAATGCTTCATTATTTCCTTATAGGTATTTGATAAAATACCTGATTTTCCTAATTTCCTATAAAAAGTATTATTCATGAATATTTATCATTCCAAATAAATTAAAGCACCATTCCTGAGAAGAACTAATCTAATAATGTAATTTGTGACTGACGCACAAGAATGATAAATGCGTAAAAAAGCTTGAGCAATAGATGGTAAAAATTTGGATACCTTTTTTTCAACGTATGAATAAAACGAACTCAAACTTTTTTGACACATTTTTTTGATGAGTCCAAAAAAAATAAAAAATAAAAAAGATGTTAAACCCTGGTAAACGGAGCCTTTTCCTGAATTGTGTTGTTTCCTCCAGCAACTGGGTATATGATGCTCCACTCACAGTTGCATTTTAAATAAAGTACCTCTTTGTTTGTATTGCTGTTTTTAAATAATGTTTTCAATTTTAAAAACTATTTTACTTGGATTCACCTCAAAATTACTCAAACATTGACTCAAACTGCCTGCCCAAACGACTTAAATCTGGAGCACCGTGCGTGTAACTCAGAAGTAACCCACACATCCACCAAAGCCTCCAAGAAATTAAAGAATTATTAAATACTTCTACACAACCTAACTCAAATTTTTCAAACCGAGAAATTGTTTCGTAAAAGTAGCAATACCATGCGGAACGATATGAAAAAGCAGGTCAATGGAAGTTAAATTGCAATGCAATAGTTCTCGGTAAAGATGCGCCTGCAATCACGAGGGATACTGTTCGCTATACAGGTTCAACTCATGCGTATTATTCGTATTCGTATGAATCTTATTCGTATGAATCTTACCGCTCACAAACCTCAGCCCTGAACCTTAACAAACTCCGGTATTTCTTTTAGTAAAAGATGTTTCAAAAAAGCATAAGCTGTGGCAGAGAAAAACCTCTTTTGTATCCTCCTCTTTCGCTCTAAAAATAACTTAATCGTTAAATTCGCATGTCATGATTTCAACGGTGACAATATTTTCTCTCCCTGCGAGGGGAGGGAGGAAGTAAAAACGCACGACCTAGAGCACGCGGTTTGTCCTTATAAAATTATTTTAAGAAGCTAACTCACTCTCGACGCAAAGTAAAGAAAATATATATAACTATAGTAGTAACTGTAGAGCGAAACTTTAATACTCCTCAATGATATTTAAACATGGATAAAAGGCGAAAAAGTGCGAAATAAGATTGATGTCACGGGAATAAACTCCGTGAAATTTTTGGAAAATAATACATTGTCACCACTTTACATTTCTCATAGAAGTTAGTTCTAGCGTCAGATTGACAAATGGACGTTTATACTTAAGGTTTTCTCTGAGAATTCGAATGCGCAATGTTCACGGGATTTTTGCCGGCAACATTTTCTCCCGTACAATGTCTCGCGAGCCGAAAAAAAAAAGGAAAGAGACCCACAAGATTTTTCAAACAAAAAATAATTGCCAATTGTTTCACTCTCTTTTCACTTCCAATTATTATAAATAGATATTCACTAGTAAGAAGCTTTTATTTATTTTTTGTCGAAAAAAACATCACTTTTCAAGCCATTTTGCTCCCCTCGTTAATTTCAAAGTTCCTTGAGAAAAGTAATGAGCGGTTGCAAAAATTATCCTCGGAGCTAAAAAAAAAAGTCACTTTATCATGGGGCGGAAATACACATTATTATGAGCTTAAGAAGATGAGGGTAATTTTTAAAAACAAAACACTGCGTAAGAAAAACTGGATTAAAGGTTCTAGAAGACTACCTTGGCAGAAAATTCCAATGTGGTTTTTTCGCGGGAGCGGCTTCACCGAAAAGGCCGAAAGGCGCGAGGCGACCACAGTGTTGAACGGCGCGGAACTTTCTCAAATTGCCAACCCCTCGCCGAAAAGTGGAATTTATACTAGCCCCAGGGTCTGTGGGCAGGGATGAAAGCTCAGACTCCCCAGTCTCCAATCACGGGATCAGGTCCCTCCCAACCCTTTACCACCCACCCCTTCTCCGTCCCTTCCCTTTCGTCCACGTTCGCCTCATTTTTAGTATCGAAGAGCGAGCGAGGCGCAACAAGAGAAATAGTGTCGTAAGTTTATGCCATGTTGCCGACAGAATCGTAAGAATAAAAGAGTTTCATGCGAGTGGAACGAGACCCATTACTTTTCTCTCTCTTCTTTTCGGAGTTAATGTCTTTTTTTCATGAAATTAATGACGATATCGTAAGGGTACACATTTTGAGCTCCCCTTTCTTCTGTCATCGAATAATACTTAAAAAAGAAATAACGATAATCATATTTTGTTTTTCCCCGTCCTGTCCTGATACAGCCAATAATTAAAGTTGTAAAACGGTCGTAAAAACACGTTTATTGTGATTCACAAAGTCCTCATTTGAATCAATATGATGCATAATGATACAATCGCAGGTTTTACATTATTTTTTACGATTGGACGTATTTCCATCAAACGGACCTAAGCGCCAGAGGGTGAGGAAGGTAGAGGGGGGCTTGGATTGGCGGCGGAATCGGGCGTCCGGCTTATTCTGTCCTATACTCGCAATGCTTTTCCATGGCGCTTAGGTCCGTTTGACAGAACGCGCTATCCAGGATTCTAAATTCCTCAAAAAGAACTCAAATTGGCGCTTAGTTCCGTTTCATAGAAATACGTCCAATTATTAGGTGGTGTAATATCTTTCCTGGTAATTCCATTAAAAAATTAAATTTTTATCTTTCTCAAGTGTACCTCAGAATTCACTTTTTAATGACAAAGTATGAAAAAAAAATTATTTGATGTACGTATACTACGTTCAAAGTGGCGAGTTTATTTTTGACGGGTCATCTAGAATTATTACGAGACCACAAGGAACAGATTTTGTCAGATGAAGGAGGTGTGGTATTTTGATTCCCGTATTCTCACCGACACAAATGTACGTAAGTGCTCAAGCTCTCACTGAGGGGACCCTTGCCTAAAGCGGAGCGATTTTTCTCTAATTCGGTCAAAAAATTGGAATTTGATTCTAGAACGAAAAACTATCCCCGCTGCACACGACGAATTCGTTATATGAAGAGGTCCAGTTCATGTTTGCAACGGTAAAACGTGTAAAGATGCGACTTAAGGAATTAAAAATTTACGTGAAATAATTACTATGTAAATTTTCCTAGAGTAGAGCTATATGAAAAGCTCGTTAAAATGATAATTTCCCCTGAGAGAGGTTCCCGTGAAAAGATAAGGCTTACACGAAAGTTACTTACGGTAAGATGTTGTAATTAACACCAGTGCTCTAGCATTTATTTATTTATTTTTTTAACCTTCTTTTATTATTTTTCGTTTACTTTTTCTGTTTTTTATATTTTATTTATTTATTTTTTTATTTTTTATTTTAGTATATTTTTAAACTATGGAAACTATGCAGGTAGAGGAGCTGTTTTTTAGACGCGGTGTCACTGATCCTACGCCGCATCGTCACACAGTGGAACAAGCCATTGGTAGAGGTTGGACATGAAATTATCAAATAAAATTGCGCGATGTTTATTTGGTTTCATATAACTTTAAGGAAACTATTTTGCAGAAAATATAACAAGGAATCCATTTGGTCCTTTTTTAAACCGCTTACGTCTTGCAATAACAAAGATAAAGGATTATTAAGTTTCCACGTTTGGTTCAACCGTTTCCGTTGACTCGCTGCACTGTGCGACGCGGCCGCCAGCCGGAGCGCGGCAAAAGTGAAAGTAGATCATAATATTAGCCTTCTACGCTTATATTCTGACTTTGTTTTAGGTACAACCAGTGCCTTCGATAGCTCAGTTGGCAGAGCGGTGGACTGTAGTTAGCTTCAAAACGGTGATCCATAGGTCGCTGGTTCAACTCCGGCTCGAAGGACGTAATTTTTTGACTGTACCAATTTTTAAAGAATAATAAACCTGACCTTTAATGCGCCACTTCGACTCCTTTTAAGGTACTCTGAGCTTGAAATGGTACTATTTGAATGGACTGATCAATATTTAATACATTCAGTATCTGATGCTCAACGAGTTCCCAAAAAAAAAACTTGGCTCAGCACAAACATTAACCATGAACTAATAAACGTTTAACAAATTAAGGTAGTAGAATATTACATACGCTCTGAAAATGCTGCATCAACCGCATAAACGAATTTTCCATGCGCTTAACTTGTTTAGTTTGTCCTTACAGCATTCAGAATAAAAGCCGCCTCCCCCCCCCCAAAAAAAAAAATATTTAGGATTTATTACTTTAAAAATCCTATATAATAATGTAATATTAAAATTGCATTACTTATATTCTTAATTATTAATTTTTACAGTAGGTCAGTTGCGCTGGGCTCAGAGTTGTGTTCTGAAGCTTGACCATGTTGTGGGATTGCCAAAAATAATGAGATCTGCCCAAACAATAACTTTCTACGTTCAATGTTATTAAGATATCGCGGTTTAAAAAAATCGGTTTATGACGTTATCCACCGTGGTAGTGACACCCTTGCTTTCTTTCATCGTGCTCTCATCCAAGTTTCACGTTGAGTAACCAGTGCAAGTGTGTGTCTCACTGGCTGATGGGGGCGAGGTAGTAGATAACCAAGAGTGTTAACCGCGGTACCGCGGTAACACTACCGCGATAGATGAAGTCTTAAAACTGAATTTTAGCGCGATATCTCGTTCAATATTAAACGTAGAGAATTGCTGTTTGGACAGAGCTTGGTATTTTCGGCTGATCTTCTAGAATCCAGTATCAAAACACGATTCTGAGACTAGCAAATGATCCATTTGCCAACTGATGGCACATTCGTGTGTACAAAAAATTGCTGATACACATTACCAGTGGCGTGGCGTGAATTGCGATATATCGATTGGTATTCCATTTAAACCAATGGTAAAGAATCGATTATTAAGGTGTTCGCGGCGAACACCCTCTTTGTCGATCCTTGTCCATAGGTTTAAATGGCGTAACAATCGATATATCGCAATTCACGCCACGCCACTGCATATTACATATTACGTATGCGTACCTCAGTACCTTGAGGGCCTCGTATGAAAAGAATTCCCCCCTCCATTCGCTCTATACCAGAGGGAATGATGAATGAAAAAAATTGAATATGGACAATAGTAAAAAATATGCACGATGAAAAAATTGAAAAATAAACAGAAAAATCGGTGGCAGAACAAAGTCACTAAGAACAATTCTCTAAAACATGTTTCCCCCTTTTTTTATTTTATTTTTTTTTTTTTTTGCGAACAGCAATTTCGAACGATCAAATTCCTTGAATTTATAATTTACGAATCAGAGAGTAGATAGTATAACTTGCCTCAAACAAGCTTTGCTCCTTTAGGAAACTTGCTCCATTTCGTTTTTTAAGAAAAACACACCTACAAATCCCGGACAAGTGGTATTATGTCCAAATTTTGGGTTTCTTTATACAGATCAAATATGGCGGTGTTTAATTTTTATGCTTTCACGTTAAGTCCCCTTCCTCCTTACACCATCACACTTAAGTGCCAGTGAAAGGAGAGGAATAGGTCCACCTACAGAATGACGTGCTTTTCTTTTAGTTACCGAGTTATGAAAACTTTCACTGTGCTGAGCTTCGTATTTTCATCAGTGCACATCTTATCAAATGAATAAACGCAATAATCAAATGCACCTACTGTTGTATTCTAATCTCATCGTTGCTTACTCACTTCCTTCGGTAGCTCAGTTGGCAGAGCGGTGGACTATAGACGGTTTCGTGATTGTAATCCATAGGTCGCTGGTTCAACTCCGGCCCGAAGGAAATTATTTTTCTTGCATGACCAATGGACCACTAGACAAGGTACGAATTTAAGCATTCTGATACATGTTTTTTAACCAGAATTTCACGTAAAACATGATTCGCGCAACGAAAATTACTGAAACCAAATCCTAACGGAGATATTAATATTTTTATTTCACATTGGTTACGAGGAATTTGAACTGGCCGCTCACAAGGAGCTCAAAGCTCTACGTGAGTCAAATCGCGCATTACAACGGTTTCAGCAAGCTTCTCAATCAAGCAGTGTTCATTTCCCACATGTGTTTTTCAAACTATAAGTAATTTGCTATAGCATGAGTCAAAGCGTCAAGGTTGAGGTAACAAGATTTTTTAATCGGAGAGGCGTTCATGATAAATTTTAGCGCGCGATGTGAATCACGCAGAGCATTAAGTTTTCATGAGCGGGTGGTTTCAATTCACGCACCAAGAATCATTAAATACCTTCGGAAGGAGTTGATTTCGGTAATTTTCGTTGTGCGCATCGTGTTTTACGTGAAATTTTGGTGAAGAAACGTGTATCAGAATGCTGAAATTCGTACCTTGTCTAGTGGTCCATTGACCAATTATACAAAGTTTCACGATGTGTCTTTATATCTAAGGTATTCTTCAAAATATTTGGACCCCCAAAACCTCACAAATAGATAATTCTAGTGATGGGCGTACAGGGCCGGATTTACTTACTTGCCGCCCATGGGCCGCCTGTATTTTGTCGCTAATGGGCCGCCTGTATTTTGCCGCCCCCTTCTCATTCGTTTTGAAACATCAATAAATGCCATCAAGTAAACGTGCTGGAGGGGGAGAGGCGTATAAGACGCGTTTCGTGTTGGTCACATTTCTTGTGAAAGCCCTGTCAACACTACTAGCAAAAGTTCACGGAACTTGGCGCGAAAGTTAAGTTCCGTAAACCTATCTCTGTATGGACAAGGCCCTCCATTTTTAAAAAAAATGAACCAAAAAATTATGAAAGAACAAACATAAATGGGGTTTAATAATTTTAACTTCCGTCGCCGCGCCGCGCTGATCGCACTGTATTTGGCGCAATTTGTGAAGTATTCTTACAGTCTTACATGCGCTATGCGTTTCGGGCCGAAACGTGCTGCACGCACTGTGTT